AATGAACGGAGGTAATCCGGTAATCCTTCTCATAGATTCTATTATGTGATTAACCTAGATGTTTAAAGATCTTAGGGTTCATGTAAATTATGACTTACATATGTGTTCCATCTAGTGCCCCAACACAATTCTAAAATAAATGCAAAAAAGTAAAGAATAATTAGGTAAAAAGTATAAAACAACAAAATTTGAATAAAACAGAAGATAAAAATATGTACCTTGAAATATGGGTAAAATCTCGTATTTTCTCTTATTTCCATAGGTATTGATCCATCTGGTTTCACCATGAAACTTGGAGATATTATAAGTATAGCTCTTAAAACACGGTTAAAGCTTGTGCTTACTGCAAATTTGGACCTTTTGAATCTGTCTTTGACGGATCAATATCTCGAATTTTGTCCAACTGTGAGCATGAAAATAGCAAGCATCTCTTCCACAGATATGAATCTCGTGTCTTTTAAACCAGCTTTCTCTCTCATGATAGTAGACAATTTCAAAAACGCATCAGGAAACATACGATACAATACCCGAAAATGTTGAGGATCTTCTTGTATATATTGTTCACCGAGTCTTGTGATTGGACGGCGAATTGGACGTTCAATAAAATAATCACCCATGAGACGTCGTGTGTTTTGAAACTGTGCTACTAAAGCCACCATCATCACTGTTAGAGATATGTCCGTATCAAACTCATCATCTTCTATTCTTTCATCATCCATTCTTGTGTCTTCTTCTTCATGAAGATTTTGATCCATATAGATAATCTGTTAAATCAAATTAGCATTAATAATAAAAAAAGATTTTAAAAACGACTAATTCAACATGATTAATAATAAAAAATCGTAAATAAAGCATTAATAATTATTAAAGAAAAAACTCATTTTAACATGCTAAGTACTTCAAGCATTCGGTTCACCACCAAAAATTGCATTAAGGAGTGTGACAAAGTGCGAAAAGTCTGTTGGAACTCGTGGATCGTCGGGATTAAGCATATAAACATTGTAAATTTTCTTCAACCAACGCAAACGGTTTAGTGCTTGAGTCCAACTTAGATCAGCTCCAAATTGTTCATTGATATTCTTAAGGATGTTTTCTTGTTGGAGAGCACTTGGAAATCTTCTATCCTCTATTCGTTTTTCCACAATCACCCGTTGAAGTAATGCAAGTGTGCTCTCGGTTGACCAATTAAAAAAATTCTGAAAATTAAAATATAATTAAATCATTTATTATACATAAGAAGCCAAGCCATAACAAAATAACTTACTACTTTATAAGCCGAGGCAGCACGATTATGTTGTGAAGCCATTAACGTCACCATGCACTGTGTGTACTAGATATAATAAAAACTGGTTAAAATAGCATCATAATTTGTAAAATATAGCTGAAGATATTAGTATTAAAATGAAAAGAAAGGTACCGTCTTCTCTAGATCTCTGTTGAAGAACACTGTAACAAAAATAACAAAAGAGGGTGTGATGAATTGACTTTTATACTAGGCTATAAGGTTGGAATAAGATACTTGTATCTTACTAATTCGGCAAATTTCCACATTTTGTTATTATCCTTTGCAGCCGTTTCGGTACCAGTAACAAATACATTAGGAGTTAGAAAATTTAGAATGAGTAATACTAATAGGCATGAGAATATACACGTATGTTGCATATATAGTTTGTTGTGTAGTGAAGCAAAAATATCTATATTTAAAAAGATTCATGTTATTCAAATATTTTTTTTATTAATTAGAGCAAACTACAGCTGATATGAAAGAAAATTAAAAACATATTATTTAAAGAAACGACGAGGGAGTAATTATTCAAATTCGTCTTTATAAGATGCATAAGCTAAAACTAATACTGAAATACCCTAAATGTAACGCCCGTGAACTAAAAAGGGGATTTTTTTGGGCATGCGTGACGATCGATACGGAGTAAAATCAGACCGACGGTTTCGGTTTCTGATTTGCCGGTTTYGGGAGCGGTTTAGGGGACACCCTAGGGTTTGTATAAAAGGGCTAGAACAGACGCGTGTTTGACTCATTTTAGCCGAAAAAATCAGAGAAAGAGGAGAATTTGAGAGAGAATCAAGAGAGGTTGTGAGTTGTGTGTGATTGAGGGTGAAGGACAGCTTCTGTCGAGTGTTTGAGAGGGCAAACGGCTGGGCAATTCGAGGAGGATTGGGGTAAAACTTTGAGCATAAGTTTTCCGATCTCTGGTCTCGATATGGGCGAAATCCGTTCGTCATTTCGTTGAGTATTCGTTGAGTTATGGCTGTTTGAACTCGATAGGGTTGTGCAGACTTGCTGCTGCGATCAGTCGGCTTCCGGAAGGCTTTCCGATCGAACCAGAACGACTTAGGAGACAATCAGCCTATCTGTAGAAAGCTCTCTCTGTCTAGTTTCTAAATCAGGTTTCTGATCCTGATTCTGAGGTATTATCCGTTCTCGGTGTATTTTCAAAGTCAGTGTGTCGTTCCTGTCTTCTAAAATCCTAATTCGGTTTAGGTGATTTTTGGAGAAGACGAAAGGCTAGGCAAATCAGATCGGATCGGGGTGAAACTTTGTGGGTAAGTTTTCCATTCCTTTTTCTTGATGTGGGTGAAAACCGTTCGTCAATGGGTTGAGTATTTAGAGAGTTATGATCGTTTTAACTGGGTAGGTTTCTGCAGTTTTCTGCTGCGATCAGTCCACTTAGAAGGAGGATTCCCGTCGAACCAGAACGAGTCTGGAGACGATCCGCATACCGACGTGTAGCTTGTTCTGTCTAGTTTTCAGAACCGTTTTTCGATTCGGATTTGGATAATCCGTTCATCGTGTGCGGGGCGTTCTTGTAGGCGTCGTGTTCTTCATCTTTTCAATCCTTTCGG